ATTAAATAGAGGCAGGGGCAGATTGGGGCAGGGTGTGCAGTAGTGCAGGTACAGCCTCTTCTTGGCTCTGCCACCAGCTATTCCAGGTACAGGGGGAGCCCAAGCCACTTTTGTCCTGCTTCAGTCACAGGTTGCAGCTGTGCATGGTGCCAGGCTTGCAGGGGACAGTGGCGGTAGGATGCAGGTTCCCTTCTCCAGTGTAGCTGAGACCCAAAGATGTCCCCTACTGGCTAGGAGTTGGAAAGAGAAACCTGCATGCCATCACTGCTGTCCCCTGCTGACAGGGACATGATGGGAACCCCAGAGCTGCCCCTGCCCCTCACTGCAGGGAGTGGCTGTACAGGGAGCCCAGGGACAGCAATGGCAGCATGCAAGTTCCTCCTTCCAATGCCTGTTCTCTGTCAGCAGAGACCAGTAGGGAGGAAGGAGGGGGAGGGGTGGACAGGGAGCAAACCCAAATCTTCCCTCAAAATAATTAAAGCCCCAAAATTTGGGGAAAATTCATGATGCTCTTTTCCCCCCATCACTGCTACACAGCCCATGGCAGGGTATAATGCACTAGTTAAGTGCTGCAGACTCAGTTCTTCCAGAAAAAATGCTGATTCAAGGTCTAAAGAATTCACACTCATTAGGAATCCCCGGACATTTTCCTTGTGAGCCATCTTCTCTCTTAAACCATTCAGCAATTGTGGGATGGATGGATCCCAGGAAGCACGTGTGTATAGGCTTTAGGCAATACACTGGCCACACGCCCCTTGCCTAAAGCCTTGGGAAAGTTTCTTGAACAGAGGATGGCAACCTATGGCCTCTGGTGGCAGGGCTAGCAATCAGCAGCATTTAGTGAGGGGAATCAGCAGCACAGGGTGGCGAATGCCAGCAACCAAGGGGCAGTGGCCCACCTTGGAACTGGGCTGTGCTAATCTGGACCAACACTAGTAAAAGGTGGCCCACCCTTGCTCTGGAAGATAAGGGGGCTTGGAGCAAAGGTATAATCCAGGCTTAACAGAGGCTGGTACAAACTGACATTTCTAATGGATGGTAATTTTCTGACAACTTGGTTCAAGCAGGACTGTGCCTAAATAAGAAACAGCAAGACAGTAATTACTGTAATGCAGCAAACACCCAAAGCAGGTACAGAACTAGGATCCACCAGTTTTAATCAGAAAGTGATGTATTTACAGGTGTAGAGATCTAAGAAGAACCCAAGAACATAAAAAGTGTTATACTGGGTCAAGACCAATGACCCATCTGGCTCAACATCCTGTCTCTGACTGCCCTGAACCCAGCTGACCAATACCCAATAGGCCCCTCTAACAACAGGGGGGGCTGACCATTGCTTTGCGGACACTAAGCCCATATTTCCCCTATGTATCAAACAGGCCTATCTCGGAGGTGGCAACGGTGGATGCAAGGAGAGCACTGAACCACACAGATGTTGAACAGCAGTGTTTGAACATTTGGCCTCGTGGGCCAGGTGAGTGGTATGGGGCCAGTCTGTGGGCTGGATCAAACCCAGCATACCAGGCTTGTGCCCTAGGAGCCTGGCACCGACTCTACAAGCTAAGTTAGGGCCCCAGGAGCCTGGTGTCACATCCTCCCACCACCTTATGCTGGGATTGGGCCCTAGCACCATGCTTGCCTGACCCAACACACAGGACTCATGGCTGCCCACGGGTCTGGAAATATGGTGGTGGGGGAGCAGTTCCAGCACTCCCGCTGCCAAACTTCCAGACCTATGGGGAGTCCTGCAGGCCAGACAACGTAACGCTGTGGGCTGGATTAAACCCTCAACATTAGGATTAGGCCCTGGGATCCTGGCACTGCCCCTGCATGCTGGGCTTGCGTCTCAGCACCACTTCCTCCCATCCCCAAGCACCAGGACTGGGCCCCTGGAGCCTGGCACCACATCCTCCCACCCCCACATGCTGGGACTGGGCCTTGAGACCCAGCCTGGCCCGGCACACTGGGATCAGGCATCTGACCCAGTGAGCAGGGCTCTCCACAGATCAGGAAATTTGGCCATGGGGGGAAAAACAGCATCACCCCTCCCCAGCTGCCAAATTTCCAGACCTGTAGGAAGCCCTGTGGGCTGGATGACAGTGCTGCAGGTACGGAGTTGTGCATCACCAATCTAGAGATGCATCCCTATTTGCTACCCTCCCTGGCACCCACAGTTTTAGTCAGAGATGATGAAGAAAAGCCTCCAACTTCCTGCCCAACAGCCCTCAGGGGATCCAAGACCCCTGAATTTCCTGGGTACCTGCCCAAGCCTGGCTGCACCTCCCCCTTTTTGGGGGGCCATGGGTTCCCCTACCCCAGCCCCAGCCCCTGGCACCCAGGAAACACCTCTCCAGGCTCCACCTGGGCCTGACCTCCCCTCCCCTCAGGAGCAGCAGGAAGGGGGGAGCTGGGCTGGGCTCGGGGTCAGGCGCGGGCGGCTGGGACACAGGCAGCAGCTCGGGTGCAACCATTTTAATGTGCTCCGCACCCCCAGGGCCCGGCTCGGCCAGGAGGCCCCTAGCGTTGG